GGTCCCGGGTTCTATGATAGTCGCGGGCGATGCAAAAATATTCGGAACACATATTTATGTATTAAATGTTAAATTTATTTCGTTGGCTCAGAGTAACTGTTGTAGTATTCGGCACATTTATACATTATCTTTCATTACCTAACTGCTATATTTCACAGCTTAATGACTGTTTTTCAAGAATAAAAACAATCAACACAGCAATTAAACGCACGATAGACAACGCTTTTCTTTTTATAAGAAGCATAGTAATTTCTGATCAAAACTCTCCGCGTATTTCCCTACGGAAAATCGGCTTCTCTAACAGTCTGTAACAATAATTATTCATAATATATTTCCCGTGCGCCCAATTTTGTTAAAAGTGGGGGGGGGGGGGGAGGAAGGTAAGGAAGAACTGGTGAGCACGTGGGGTGACACGTGCCCCTTATGTCTCTACTCCCCCCTCCGGTTAGGCGCCTGTGATGATTTACTTGCATTTCGTCGTGGCTAGAAGAACTCGGAGCGCCTGTTGTTCGTTCGTTTTATTAACTAGATTAAAATTACAGCTCTTTAGTTACAACATATAAGAAAAATAGTGAAAATAACATCGCCTTTAGGCCTTGTAGAAAACCTAATACTGGTAAGATGCACACTGTTTAATTATTGAAAAATTACTAGAATGAATAGATGTTATTCGCAAAGAATAATTAGAAGAATGAGGAAATAGGTCATGCCAAGACTAGGGCCACTCACTGCTCGTAACCTGGCGACTAATATTTGTGTAATCTTGCATGTTCGATGACGAAAAGGAAAATATGCTAAGAACATGCATCAGATAGTAGAATCTCACGAAATTTGAGGTTATTTTTGAACGTGTCCTAAAATTTCAAAGCCTTAGAAACGTACGTTATCTAATAATGTTTTCCAACAGGTAAGTTAAATAATCATACAAGAAAAGAAAGTTCTTAACAAACGACAAATGTTGGTTTTAATTATATATTGCGTGCCATATAAAAAATGTCATTTCGCTATCAACATGACATTTTTAAAACAAAATTTCAGTTTTTTGGGGGGGAAGGGGATGACAACAATCGTAGAAAATGAAAAAAAAATGTCCCGGGGGGAGGGGGAGGGGAGACTTTCACTAAACAATAAAATTTATGGGTTATGGACATAAAGAACGAGAAACAATATGTAGCACATACCTATGTTCCCGGAAGAAGTGGCTCATTCATCGCGGTTTGGTGCACGCGCTTCGTGATTATTGGGACAATATTACATGATTTGGCGAGGTAGGGCATGTAGGCTGTAGATGAAAGTTCCCCTTCCCTGCGGCTGGTATTACCTTCTGTGAGTCGAAACGCTTTAGACACATAGACTGCTCGCTAACGCGCGGAATGTAGTAACCGCCACTCTTAAGGTTGAGTGATTGTGACTTGTAAGCGTTTGTGGTCTTCTTTAGAACCGTGTGAGCTTGCTTCTTTATTAGTAACACACCTTTTTTGTCGTTAGATATTCACGGTTAAAGAATGTTTCTTATTTATCTTATAAACTTATTAACTACCTTTGTAGAATATGAAAAAGTATTTGTAAGTATAATGACATTATATTTATTCTTCACAGAAACGTCAGGATGAAAGATTTTAGAACTTAGTGTTTTCAATGTCTGCACTTGGTGTACGTATATGGAGCTTATAAAACTATGGACGTTACATATAGAGAATACAGGCACACTTTTAAAAATGGAGTGAACACGGCTTTCGAAGTAATTCAAGTTAATCACTGTAACTTACTTAGACGCAATGTACAGAGGGGACCACACTTCTTGTTTTCACAAACTGGAGACTGTCTCTCTCGTATTTCGACACCAAGAGTATTGGATCAAAAGATAGGTTCCTACAGAGCATTCTGGGCATATGACATTCATCTTAGCCCCCCCCCCCCCCCATTCATTAAATCAAAGTTACGCCTCTAGAAGCTCATGTGAAGTGACTTTGTTCTAAGTTACGTTTTTACTTTTACTGTTTTTTACAATAAAGTTATTATTGATCACTGGCTTATGTTGCCCCACAACTATAAGAAATAGCAGTTTACTTCCCCAGCGTTTAAGGATGACACCGAAAAATTGTTTGTGTTTGTTTGTAATTATGTACAAAGCTACACAATGGGCTATCCGTGCTCTGCCCACCACGGGTATCGAAACCCGGTTTCTAGCGTTGTAAGTCCGTAGGCATACCGCTGTGTCACTGGGAGGCCGGAACAATTGCTAACGTTAGGTTTAGGAAATGTTTGCTTTAATGCTTAACAATTAGTTATATTAATTCATATCTTGATTTCAGAATGTAAATACGCTTTGAGCTATTTTTATATACAGATATCTACGAATAAATTCTGATTAAGTAGTTAGCACTTAGGATCACATACAAAAGTTGTAATGGTTTTCAAACGAGACCCAAAACTCGAGCGCTTTCGAATAGTTCACTATTCTTCTTCAGGAGAATAAAGGGAATATATATGTTTTTATTACTGTTATTACAATTTCCAATTATTTAATAAAAACAGTTATTCTAAATAAGTGTGGAAACGCACAGGTGGTACACATAAAGAAGACACAAACAATAAGTAACTAAAACTAAATGATCAATTTGTTATCAGTACAATACATTATTACAAGAAATACAAATTAAAAGCGAATAATATGCTAGTACTTTATGTATGCTTTAAACAAAGTATTACACCTTCTTTCTATGCTGATACAAGTTTATAGACGTAAAATTGCGAAATGTTGTTACAAATGTCCTGTATTGTTAGCCACAATTCAGCCGAGTTTTTTGTTTGGCGTTTGACTTTTAAATATCCACATAAACCTATACGGCTTTAATAAGATTCATTTTGGGACTTTTTGCAGACCAAACCATGATTACGAATTTCAGGTATCGTTTCATCATATTTGCTGCATTCTTGGGATCACTGCTTGCTGGAAGATAAATTTCTGCCTAACAGATTTTGTCCTTTAGGAAATGACATGATGGGTAAGAACCTATTTGTTCCTGTCGGCAGTTAGGTTGCCATCAATTTTGTGTAGATCTCCAATGCAGCCCATAGTTTTATCGGTACCACAGCATACTTCACTGGATAAGTTATACGTCGACCATCATACCGTTATTTTTTCTGATATTGAACAAACCTTAGCTGATTTTTGCTAAACGAGTTCAATTTGGATTCATTTATAAACAGTGACCTCCTTCAGTTTTGTTCATCACATTGTTTTGAAGTTTGATGCGTATTTCATCATTTTGGCTTGGTTATCTCTCTGTGATTTTTGAGCAGCTACACATGTATTGAGGCTACTTCATACTAATGTGTATCTTACTGTTCTGGAAGTAACATTCACACTTATACTTACAGCTAGGCCAACTGAAAAGATCTTTACTGAGTTTTCGCGTATCACATAAATAGCATACAGTTTGGGCTTTATACCTCGACTTCTTTTATCATCAATAGTACTATTTTCACATACCCTTTAAAGAGTTTTTACAAAGCTCCTCCTGAAACAGGAAATTTAGCTTTTTTTTGCTTTTTTTTTATGGAGTGCCCTTCACCAGCCAAATCTTTGGTTTTTGTATGTTTTTCATGTGACATTTGTGTTCTGAGAGCCGTGGTTGCGTTCATTACACTAATGCTGCTGGGAATAGTATGACAGCTTGTACTTTTATAAATATTATGCTGGTGTGGCATTGTCTGATTGGCTGGATGATAGTCAATCACAGTATAAACTATTAACACGTGACTGTACTCTGGTGCACTTAACTTTTCATACATTCGCATTTTATACACATTTTATTCACTGTTTCTAATACTATACTTCTATTGAGATGTTACTAATATTTTTGCAAAAATCCTAGATAAACTAATGACAGAAAACAAAATTTTGACTTTAGGAAAAATATTAAGATTAAGAGATTCCACAATCCTTGATCAAATAAGACAATTCGACAAACGATATAACAAAAGTTTATTTTAAAATTCTCGAAGATTGTAAGTGTTTACCTACAGTATTTCACACACGAAATACATTCATTATGTAGTGCTAATGGTCGAGTGTCAGTTAAAGTATTTGAAGAGGGAACACTGTTGACATTATTAATTTGATTAATGACTTGGAAGCCTAAGTGTAGCATAAATAGAAATGCGGCATACCGTGTTATTCGAGACATTTTCAGTCAAATTTTAGTAAAAATGGGCACTGTTTCATAATTTACAAATGGCATGAATGTATAGATGTTACAACTATCTTTCAGTTGGCAATTTAGACAGAAAAACACCTTCTTAAGATGTCATAAACATCTCTCATAGGTGACAATAAGAAGAAAAATAGTGAAAATAGGGCTTCCTGTAGGTGGCATTATACAATCGTAAGATGCGCAGAACTACTGTTGTAAAAAGTTGGAGAGTTCCTGTTGAAGTTAGGTGCGTTATACATCCAAAAATTATCCAATCAAGAAAAGTAAATCGTGTGACTTTTGTGCCAATTTTACTTACTAAAACCTTGATCTACAGTAAACAGAAACTCATTCCAAGAAATACATTTATTTGATATATTTCAAATAAGGAACGTAATAATGAATATCTTGACTAGTATATGCATTAGAAACAGAATACTCATTACCATTTTTAAAAGTAATTTTCTCATACAGCTTTTTGATACGATTTTTTCCTTTACTTCTCTGACTGTGTTTGTTAGATAAAAATGTTATTAAAACTTCTGTATAAATTATTTTCTCGGTCTCGTCTAATGTAATACATTTTGTATAATTTTTGTTTTTCTACATCCTTATGTTTCACATCGCTAACTTGTGCATCTATGGTCGAGTTCGAACCACATGAGCAGCAGCGGAGTTTCGCTACAGGTTATTCTCCGCCTATAGATGGCACTACGTCAAGTTAGCAGAAGAAAAAAAACAGGGGCCACCAGTAAGCCAATCAACGTTCTGCACAAACCGGCGCCAGTGCCTTAATAGCGAAACGACGAGTTCTGTCTCCAGGATTGAAATTTTCCACTTGTTACGGTTAGTCGTCGATTGTGGTGGCTGTTGGTAATGTTGGGGGGTAGTTCGCGCCTTACGGGGATCTAACAGCAACGTAGAATTATAAATAACACAAAAACTTTTAACCGCAAAATTAAAATCTAATATAACGAGTGAGAACTTGCATTAATCTGGATTCAGTTTAAATAACTTATTTAATTGAACTGTATAAAAATACACGTGATTTACAGGAGGCGGAAGTGTACGAAACTATAAATAATAATGAAGAAGATACCGAAGCAATTACACGCCATTGTAAATCATTTTGACGAGCAACGTAGACAGATGCTAAACATGAGCCTTAATAACAGTAGTTTCACCATGGCAACAGTGTCATAATCAAGAATGTGTCCACGCGAATCGGAAAGTTAAGACAATTAAGGTCTATTTTGTTGTGTTTTTGCGATGGGAATGCAGTTGGCCCGAGCCGGACCCTGGCAAACCGCCGTTCCAGTGATTTACGTACTTTTCGCTCTTGTTCGTACAGGACGAAGTAGTAGTGCCTACACGGGAGATGACTGTGACTGGGTTGGAAGGTAAGATTGGTTGTGATTTCATTTAGCTTTCTGAAACATCAAGAATTCGTGTGTACCGTATTTGCCGGTGTATAAGACGACACTTTTTACTGTTTAAAACAATGACTGATTTTAACCCTCGTCTGATACACAGGTTCAAAGGTAAGCCTAAGAACACTAGTAAGAACTCTCCGGTTAATAGCATATTTAACCAAAACTAATTTGACTTTTGTTTACTTTGTTGAGTAAGTGCGTTGACATCGTGCCATTTATTGCGTTACTATAACATATTTGTAATTGTATCATTTGTCTCAATTCTTCATAAGTAGAAGTTATTTATCTCGTATGCTAGTTACAATCAATAAAAACATTTTTGACCTGAAATGTATTGATCTCATCAGTCGTACTAAAATATTGCTCATATTATATATATATATATATATAAAAACGTTAGTTTCCGTAACGTACACTAATTTTTGTAAACACATTTTTAAAGTAGATCAGTATATCTTAAGCCTAAGGTTTAGTATTTTTTTGCAATAGAAAAGGTGTTCAACTGTGATGAAAACTTTGTAAAGTTGTTTATTACATGTTTGTGACTTAAGTTATGCCACAGTGAGCTGTCTGTAGCGCTTGAAGAGCATAAAAAAACCATGCTTGTGGTTGTATTAATTACCCCAGAGCGCAGGTTAGAACAGTTTGAAAATAACTTCTAAGATTTTTTTTACAAAAGTAATAACCTAAACTTGCTTGACAATAGAGGTCGTTCTATACACCAAACATCCATGAAATAAACTTAATTTGCTCAAAAAAATCCAGGGTCGTCTTATACACCCAGGTGCTCCACCAGGATTTTGTCGAGGATGGTGGCTAACTGTTTGATACCAAAATTTTCAATATTTTTTTTGTATTTATATATTTGCATAAAGCTGGAGGAATTCAGGGAATAAGCCTTTTATAGGTAATGATTATCTTTTATGTAAAACAAACGATATAAATAGCTATTTCTGCAGAAAAATGACATGTGATGTCAAGTAGTGGATCAAGGAACACAATACAATGTTGAAAAACAAAAATGTTTTCTTTATCTTCTGCGTAAATGGGTGACTAGCCACCTCCTCTGGCAGAGCTCCTGACACCGGCAAATACAGTACTTCAAAAAATCTGCACGGCTATTTCAATATTTGCTAGTGAATTCTGCAAATCACATCATGTTGGTTGTTAAGTGTCTGACATTTCTAAGGACTTGCGAGTGAAAGTAAAGAAGAATGTAATAATATGTCAATCACACTATATCCAGCTATACTAATAATCCAATGCCGGCGAGGCCTTCCGCACAATACCAGAACTCATTAGGTCGGCTGAGATACGACAGACATAGTCGTCATCGACTTGCTATGTATATGTTATTAACTGCCCGAATAACAACTGCTGTTAAGTTGAAATGTACATTTTCAAAGTTATCACTTATGCGTTCAGTTTAATCCTGGGCCACTTTAGAAAGCTAAAAGTCAAATCATCATACGAATTCTATTGTGTCACGTCTTACCCCACAACATAACACTCACTAACAGTTCAATAGACTGAACAATATGATTCTCAGTTTTCGATATTTTTCCGTTATATCCCCGCAAATGATAAGTTTTTACTGTATGAATACAATACTTATTAATATATTTTTAGAAATTTATTATAGAATTTATATATTATAATTATTATATAACTTAGCATACATAACATTTATTATATACCGGAAAAGTGTCCAGTTTTCTTTCTAGCTTTTTCAACATTGCTCTTCCTTCTGCGTGATTACCCCCTCCAGTTGTGTGTTTGTACCATATTATTGTTACTTCAGAATTTTTCGTAACAATTATTGTATATTCCTATATGTAGTTAGTATTGAGTCAATTACGTATCTGGCCCACTTATAATAAGCCCACGTGTTTTGACGCCTAACCCAGTTTGCGCTTTGTTCAGTAGTAATCAAGTTATACACGTAACACATGTTCAGCGAATAAGCAATGAACTAAATATGTTTGTTTAAGTTGGACGTCTAGCTGTTCATATAAATTTACATTGGTCTCGTTTGTTTATTTTTGTTTTAAAACTATCTCATGTAGGGTTTCTGGACCGTGGGACCAACCGCGATACTGTATGTATTCACCATTTTTTTATCTATATCATTTGTTGGTTTTCAGTTTGTGCCTTCGAGTCTTATGTTATAACTATAATAAACTCGCATCGTGAGCTTTGAGCTACAAAAACAAAAAACCGAACGCACTAAGCGATTTTAAAACCAATACACTTAGAAACTGTGAAAAATTGTTAACTGCTATTGGCAATTAAAGTGGAGACTTGGAATTTCTGTCTGCTGCACAGAACAAAAACCATTCTACAGATTGAATTATATTTATTCTTGCTATGTTTTCTACTTGACAGATCTTAAAGTGATTTTTTTTTAATTATGCAATGGACTAGTGAACTGAAATGTTGGCTATTTTTTTTTTCTGATGTTTTAGCATAGGCATCGCTAGGTGCTAGCACACGGGGCCCGTGCCCCGGATCACCAACTAGTGTTATACCGAAACGTCTAAAAGTCCCTCACCTATGGACTCGAGTCCCGAATCTTTTAAGCACCTAGCGACGCCTCTGTGTTTTAGCATATTTGTTTTGGTTGATCACAGTTTTAAACTTCTTTATTAATGTCAGCAATAAAAATGTAAATAATATTCGGACAGAGTATCGTAAAGAAGAAAAAATCTGTTCATGTTATTAACGCTAATGTTAAGTGAAGAACCTAGTAGTAGTACTGTTACTATCGTTAGGGTTAAGTGAATAACTTGAACTTAATACTACTGTTACTATCGTTAGGGTTAAGTGAATAACTTGAACTTAATACTACTGTTACTATCGTTAGGGTTAAGTGAATAACTTGAACTTAATACTACTGTTACTATCGTTAGGGTTAAGTGAATAACTTGAACTTAATACTACTGTTACGATCGTTAGGGTTAAGTGAGGAACTTAATACTACTGTTACGATCGTTATATTTAAGTGAAGAACTTGAACTTAATACTACCGTTACGATCGTTAGGGTTAAGTGAAGAACTTGAACTTAATACTACCGTTACGATCGTTAGGGTTAAGTGAATAACTTGAACTTAATACTACCGTTACGATCGTTAGGGTTAAGTGAATAACTTGAACTTAATACTACTGTTACGATCGTTAGGGTTAAGTGAAGAACTTAATACTACTGTTACGATCGTTATGTTTAAGTGAAGAACTTAAACTTAATACTACCGTTACGATCGTTAGGGTTAAGTGAAGAACTGTTACTGTTAGTGAGTATAACACGCTATACCTTTTTTGTTCACATGAGCAATATTTCGAATCTCCAGCATTCTTCCAGACCTAAGGCTAAGATAATTATTTAGACAGAATGATCATTGTTCCTGAGAAAAACCTTTTTCACATCCACTATCCCTCTTACGTATTATAAAGTCTCATGTTTCTAACGCCCGATGTGTACAATTGATATGCTCTGTCGTGGCAGAACATGTGCCGCGTGATTATGTAACGATAAAGTAATAAGGAATGCATAACAAGACTGATTCGCTGGTTTGCCAGTTCTTCTGAGGAATAGTATATTATTAAGTCTCCGTTTGTTAATTAATTTTCCGTAACTTCGTTCCGACGAAACTTTAGCGACACAAGTCCTTACTTAATAAAACTGGTTTATTCGTTCTGAATATAACTTTACCGATACATTTATTTTCAACAGTCGCTCTATAACAAACGTTTTAACAACGAACGTTAACTTCAACAATACTTTCTGACTGCAGTTCAATTACTCACTACCTACACACATTGTCACGTCACGCCATGACCATCTTATATATACCAGCCCACCCCCAATCTAGCAAATGCTAGAGCACTCCCGAAGGAACAGGATAGTTCTAGAAACGTGGCGTGACATTAGTCACGTGACCTCGCTGACGCAAAAATATCTATTTCAGATAAAATAACAATAAGTAATCATTGTCAAAAAGAAAATAAATAATATTGTGTAATTAATTCTTACCCAAAAATTCTGATGTGTAAATTATTTGAATAAAACTGACAATTATTGCAACTCACTTACTTAAACTTTTTCACACCACAACAGTTGTTGTTCATCAAAGTTAGTGATATAAATCGCGCCAAGATCACTATCTGATATTTTGTGTCCCAGCAGGGCTTATGAACCCGAAAGGCCTCGTTGGCATTGGATATAACAAATGTAGTGTGGTAGATATATTATAATATTTCTTACTTTGCTTTCACTCACAAGTTCTTAGAATATACAAAGGTTAAAGGAAGTGCTTCAACATGTGATTCATTTAATATTATTATGGCTTACTGTTCCTAATATTAAATGTTTGTATATATAAAAAAAAACTAATTATTTTTGTCACTTGTCGCCTCCTGGTGGCTCAACTTTAAATCTGAGGGCCTATAATACTCAAAATCAGGTTTCGATACTCGCGTTTGGCACAGCACAGATAGCCCATTGTGTAGCATTGCACTTAACAACAACAACAAAAAAAAAGCTTTTCAATCATTGTGCTGTGTATATGGATCCGCCATTTTTAGTGTCCTTGACCAGATACTGTAACAGTGCAATCACAAAGCATATAAAAATGAAATGATAAAATTACATTCTCGGGTGATTGATACAGTAAGAGACGTCATTGCTGTCATTGTGAAAGTAGCAACATCTCAGTAATTTGTAATGTGAGCATTAAAGTATAACAGCGTAAACATCATAACGATTTAGTTTTAGAAGGTTCTTTTAAATATAGCGTACATGTAATGATAATTTTTTATATTTATATAAAGTACAGTGCTGTTAATAATGAAAGGTGTAAAAACAAATTTTTGCATTTAACAAAGTATAATATTTTATTCAGGGGAAGCGCTAGCTGGAGGAGGGAGGCAAAGGGAACATTACCCTTCAAAAGTCATGAAGGACCCCCAA